AATCGTATTTATTTGTTGGTTATTCCGGTATATCAAGCAATCAAGCTTTAAAAAGAAAACTTATCATAGTTAATTTTCTTCAATTTATCAGTAAATAAATTAAAAAAAATACTTTTGTTGGAACTTTCTGTACTTACTACTCCCAAATATTGCATTAAAGAAACTGTTTTAAAGCTTTATTGCAAAAAATCATTGTTTTTTAACATTTTAAATCATAAAATCTTTTTTCAAACGTATGGAAACATGCAATAACTTGCTGGTTAAAAAGTTCAAATATTTTTATTTTAGTAGTATAAAAATTTCAATATAAAATCGAAGTATTTCTTAGTTTTATGATTATTTGATTAACAGAAAAAAGTGTTTAAAATATTATTAAATAATATCTTAATACTATCACTACAAACATTATTATTGGATTTCAGATTCACATTACTTTTCAAAAGAAAAACAAATTCTGATATCTCAAATGCATTCGGATATATTTTATTAAAATATTGAATATGTATTATGAATCACTTTTATGTTTACATTTATTTTTTACTTTAATTAACTCTATTGACGATTATTAATTAGAACAGAGTTTATTTTAATGGTGCATTAACTTTTTTGGAAAAGCGAAGAATTTATAATAAAAGTCTTAATGAAGTCATATTTAATTTTCTTCAGATAAAGTAAAAGTAATTAGTCATGTATGGAAATAAAATGAAAAAAAGCTAATAAATAATAGTAAAAATTTAAATAGAAATTTAATTAGATATCTCTTTCATTATCATATATATATTCTTAAAAAAATTATATATAAATTTATTCAGTTCCGATTTGTCAAATTATAAATAAATAAATCAAGTTCTCCAGATGCCTAACTTTTTATTGTTAATTGCATTATTTTGTTACTATTAATAGCATTTTTGTAATTTTTATAATCAATAATGATAATTTTATGATAAAAATATTTAATTCATTAATAATATTTCCTAATACATTTCTTGTTTTATTTCTCAGATTTGGATTAAATAAAATAATGCATATACATACATAAATAACCCTTTTCCATTAGAAATACTTTTCATCATTATGTACTGCAGTTTTAAAAATAAATGTTCCTTTTTATTAATTAATTAAAAATATTATGTGTTTTTTTTCCTTTTGCTTACAAATTTATGGTTTATTTAAAGTGTAACTAGATTTGATTTTCCAACAAAAATGATGTAGAATAGATCTTTTGAAAACATAACATTTATTTAATCTCTTAAGCTCAAATAAGTATAAAAATCATATAACTGCAAATGAAATACATATTTTTAAAATTATTCATTGACGCACATGGAATTCTAATTTTGGAACAATCGATTTGCCTGTTTGTGTAATTTAAGTTTAGAAAATGTGATAACAACCATTAAAGATTTTTCCGAATATTTTATTTAATTATAAGGTAAATTTTTAAAACGATTTTTCATACTTTATTCCAGCTGAAAGTGAAAGGTAATTAAATAAAAGAACTCTCCAAACAGCCGAGAAAATTAAATTTCTTTGTCTAAGTTTTTTTTTTAAAATTAATAGCTAAGCAGTTTAATTCTACGAGGTCCTTTTTTCGCTATTTTCTTATACTAAGCAGATAATAATCTTGATTTTTCATTTCAGAGAACATTCTAAATAAGGAATTGTTTATTTCTAACTTTTTTCTAACTGAATAAAATTCTTAATGAATGGATTTATAGTCCTTCCAGTTTCTTTTCGCTAATTACCATATTTAATTTTTTTTAATAATTATTTTTTGAGATTAGCAAAACTTCTTACGTAAAATATCGAAAAATACTATTTAATATTTATCGTAAACCTTCTTATTTCAGCACAATAATAAAAAGGCTTGTAAAATTGATTATATAAGAGAAAGTAAAAAATACTTGTGTTTACCAAAAACTGAACATTTTCTGAACTAATAATTTTCTAACTGTTTTTTATTTGAAACTGTACATTTTTATTGTTAAGTAAACCAAAATGTTTAAATTTTGAGTAATTATTTTTTTCAACTGTGCATTTTTAATTTTTTAAATATTTTTTTAAAACAAAAGAAGGGAAAAAAGTTAAAATGTATCATCAAATTCTGGTTTATAAGTTCACATCTGTGTGCATAAGTGAAATTCATAAAATTTTATGCAATTTATGTTATATCATTAATAAAAGTAAATTTTTGATTTTTTTTAAAAATACGACTGTGCAAACTAAGTTTCAAAAGTTTGACAACAGAAATGACTTTACCGAAAAAGCATCTTTTATCGTATTTACAGAATTGAGTTTTTTTTTTTACTAAAGGAAAAGCATTTTAAGATTTGTTTTTCTGCCTGATGCCTTTAAATGCAATAGTAGGTATATACCTGTCATGTCAATAAAAATGTCAATAAAATACTTCATAATAATAAAATTTGGTAAATTTATAATTATAGCATAAGGTATAGCATAAAAATCATTTATTAGGTTAAATTTACTTTTCGGTATTTACTAAATGTGGGTTACTATAACTGTTACTATAATTTTGTGTTACTANCATATATATATATATATATATATATATATATATATTGCTATTGTTATTATTGGAACTTCTTTAATCATATAAATATTAAGTTTCAAAGTTGTAAGAAATATATAAACTCAACTCTGTCTAGAGTATAGGTTATGTTATCTTCAGCAATATCTGCTAAACTTTTTTTTATATTCTTTTGCACCGAAAGGATTTTTTAGTGAAAGAGGACTGCGTAACTGAGATAATCAGTTACTGAAAGCAAATATTCTCATGGGAACTGGACTCTACAGACGCAGGTGGGAATTCTTTGCGGAAATTACCTAACCTAGGATTTATTCAATGCCGATTGCTTGAGTTTTGTTTGAGATCTAGGAGACTCTATGTAAAGAATGAATAAGCATTTAATGCGATAAAAACTGTAATGCACTTAATGGAAGGACTAATCTTTGTTTGGAGGTTTTTGCAAAAAATGTTTGTTAAAACCTATAAGTTTGCTATCAATTTTTGTTTGTAGGAGAGAAAAAATGTTACATGAGTTTAATGTAAATTAAGTTACTTTTTAATATCTAGTAATGACTTTTTTAAAAACTTGAAATAGATTTTTGTAGCGATTAAAGCCATAATTCATTTAATGGAAAGAATAACTTTTTTAAGTTTGTACTTGCAACTTTTGTGCACTTGCGATAAAATATAAAATTAATTCAAGGCGATTACTTTTGTCTTGTTTGAGATCTATAACGCTCTATATAATGAAAGAATAAGTTTTCGTTGTTATGAAAACTATACTTGCTTGAAAGGAATGATCTTTTATGGATTTTACTATGGGTTTAAATTCAATAAATTTGCTTTCAATGCAAAATCGTTTTAAAGTTACTAATAAAATGTATAAAATTTAATTTCGCAGTTCTGATTATTTTGGAATTTATTTATCAGTTTTTTAAGGTTATGAATGTATAAGAATTTTATGCAATTAAAACTTAATGTAAAAATATGCTGAACTAAAATGGACTATGCAGAATAGAAAAACACTTTTTTAATTTTTTTTATAAACAAAATATTAAAATATCTCAGATTGTTTTTAATAATCAATCAGTTCTTGATTGCAGAAAAAATTATAGTGAGTTCTTACAGCTTATGCATTTGATAATTAATATTTCCTTGCTTTTAAATGAAATATGAAATGTCCATAGCTTGGTGAAGATATTAGCTGCTATATTTCAATGGTAAAGTTATAAAAAAAAATTCACATAGCTATCCAGATAGCATTGCTGGATAGATTTTAATGTAGCAGTAACCTTTATCACAAAACTCCATCTGAGCAATAAATGATAAGAAAATTTATCATGTAAGCTAGAAACAAAGTGAAAGTTAAAAATTTTAGTTCATGTGCAATGAGGTTGCCATTTAGCTTGCATAAATATATAGTCCTTTTATATCCCGATTGAATCAAAACACACTACTCACTATCATTCAAAAATGTTGCTCTTGAAAACCTTAACATTCAAAAGGAAAAAAAAATAAAAAATACAGATTTTTGTAATGGTTTATACGTGCCTTTGCTCATTCTTCAAAATAAATAGGAAATAATGATTAACCTGTTCATCTTATTGTGTCAATCAAATCGCAAATACAACGTTTGCAGTAAGGTTGCTAGCTATCATGTTATGAATTGATTTCTAATTATCAATTCGATTTTGTGTATGGTACGTTTACTTCTCAAAAGAGAAAAAAAATGTTTTTTTATAAGTGATTTTGCTGTTAAGTTCTAAATTTTCATATGACGCACAATTTAAATATTCATTCATATACTTTGTACGTTTGCCACATTTTTACTTAGTTTAAGTAGTTGGATTATTTTCGACACTTTTTCGCTATGTTTGCTTTTCTTTTTACGCTATGTATAAATATTTAACTACTTATATTTTGTTACCGTTGATGCAGTGTGGTATGGAGCTTAGCGTTAAATAAATAGGATTTCAATAATCAATAAAATTAAATAAATAAGATTTAATAAATTAAATGAGTAAATAAGATAATAAGATTTCAATAAGTTCAAGATATTTCTTACACATATCTCAAAACAATATATTTTTATACACTTTTTATGCTATATTTTTCTAAAATATCAAAAATGAGCTTCGTTTCTATCGAGATAATTTTCAAGACACATGAGAGACTGTCTAAAACTTAAGATCTAAAATCTCTTAACTTAACTTAAGATCTAACTTAGATCTGAAGCTCTTAAAAGCTATTCGAACCATAAAGTAAAAAAAAGAACTTAATTCTGAAATACAGAAGAAAATACAGAAGTGAAAAAAAATGAAAACCTTAACTCACAAAACAATTTACTTGTTTCTATTGAACTTTTGTAATGCATGAAATGTCTGAATAATTATTATTTATTGACCTTGTGAAATCGTAAGAATTGATAGATAATCTTAAATTGCACAGAAAGTTTTGAACAAGTTTAGCTCACCTGCTCTTACACGAACATCTCTGCTTCCTAAGATTCCAATACTGTTCATTGCAACACACCTGTACACTGCTGTATGAACATCCTTTCTGAAGTCTTCTTGAGAAAAAGGTGGAAAATCTAATGAACCATCCCATCGGACATGCCTTAATCCTGGAACATTAACCACTACTGTGCCATCTTCCGTCCGCCAAGCAATAGTGGGTGAAGGACTTCCAGTGACAGAACAAGGAATGATAGTTCCGTATGTATTTAAAAAAGTTACATCACTAGGTGGTTCATTCACAAAAGTTAATCCTTTTGATGATTCCGCCAAAGAATAGTCAGCTGTAAAAAATGAAGAATCATTAAAATTAAAGATTACAAAAAAAAAGATCTTGTTTGGAGTGATGGAGAAACTAAATTCTTGCTACATAATTAAGTGAGGTGGGCTTTTTTCAAATCTATGTACAGAGCGCAAAAATGAACTAATGAGGAGATCTTTACTTTATAGGACTCAATCGTAAATGTTTGAGACGTTGACTTCAAATATGCTAATTAATTAGTGCAGACAATAATAGCTTACGAAATCAGACACAAAAACATAATTTTTCTGTCAGTTTTGAGTACTTAATGTTAATTTTAAATTTTGCGTATTTCACCATATCTTGAAAACTTTTTATGCGATTTGAAAACTTTTGCACACATTAGAAAGTTTGTTTATTCAAAGATAATTCCATGCGAAAATAACTTTTAGTTAATAGTTATTATTTTTTATTATTTCCTTTAATTGTAGACAAAAATTTTGAATAGTAAGGTATGCAATTTTTTTTTTACATAATTTTAAAGAAACATTTTTTTAAGTTTTACGTGACAAAATACAAAATTTGATGGAAATCAGTTTTACAGTTCCCGAGAAATTGAATTTTAAAAAAGTCCTTTTTTTCACTTACTCAGTAATTTAAAAAGTAATAAATTAATGGGTATAATACTTTTGAATTTGCAATTGTTGCATGTCTTGACGGAAATAAATCTAAATCTGTAATTTTAAATTAAAAACCTCATTCCATCTATATTAGTTATATTGACTTAACTTCCTTTTTTTATGCATGGTAGAAGAATGCATAAAAAAATGTCTTAGTTATCTAAATGCTAGTTTTAGACTCATAAATAGGTTCAAGTCAAAAGGATTACTAATCCGTGTAAAACTGAAACTTCTATGGGTTTATCAGTAACATTGTTGAGGCTATTATTACTACTGACAGGGTATTGGTTTCATTTCAATTCACAAATACAATGGAAACAACAATTCCATATTTGTCAAAATATGATTATTTAAAGTTCTCCCCTCGAATAAGAGTATTGCCATTTTTTTTAAAATATTCTATAAAAATTACGCCCATATTATTACAATATTTTTTTCATATCATGAACAGTCTGTAATATGCCCTGTTTAATTCAGATGAGAAGACTAATGAGACAAAAGGCTAGATTAAAGTACTATTTGTAGCTGCGAATATCAAAAATTTGAATTCATCAAAAATTGTTGAGCTTGATAGATTTTTTTAATTTTTTTTCAGAAATCAACATCCAAAAATCTATGATAATGCATCATTGGTTTCTAAACATTGTTTTGGCTCAATATTTGCACTATCAAAGATTATCAACTAATTTATTATTCTATCTCTATTTAATTTATGAATCAATGTTTAAATAATTTCAATACATAACTAAATAGTATGAGTAATACTGATATTTATTACTTATTATCACTCTGTATCGCATTTATCATTTATTTCACACTTTGTTCTTTAATATGATATAATATTCTATTATACTATAAATAATAATAATATATACGATGATTATTGTTAGAAAAAAAACTATATTGATTATTAAAAACCATATTTAATTTCTTTTACATGCGTTAAAGTCAAATTTTTAATATATAAACTTATTTACATATTCTTGAACTAGTTCTAATGAAATATAAAAGCACAAATAAAATTAATATAAATATTTATATAATTAAAAGTGTTTTGAATGAAAATAATTTTTATAAATAAGTTAACATTCACCATTAATTTTAGTCCGAAATACTTTAAAAATCCAGACGTTACTTAAAGCATTTTAACCAAATATAAAAGCACAAACAAATTTCTCATAAGTATTTAAACAAAATGATAGACAGAAAACTTATTTCTTTACTTATTATTTAAATGGTGATGTCAATAAAATTCTTTTAATGGAAAATAAAATTTTAATAAAATATTACAACCATAAAATTTAGCTAATAATAAAAATAATAAAATATTTAAAAACAAATCCCTGCCTCTGTTCTTGAAGCATTTTTACTGAAGTATAAAAGCTCAAACAAAGTTCTAATAAATATTTAAACAACTGTTTAAAACCACGTTTTTGAGACATTAAGTAATTTGAAAAAAATTCCACTTTAGAGTAGAAACAATTTGTTTTACATCCAACAAAAAGAGACCTCAACATCCCTGTAATCTGACGTTAAATTGAAAAAAAATCTAGCACAGCCATTTAAAACAGTGACATTTTCATTTAGAAGTGTATAAAAGTACAAATAAAAATGTTCTTTCGAAGAACTTTTATTTAATCTATGTTGTCGTTTCTTTATTTTACTTTACCTCCCGAGCCTGAGTCATAATATAAATCATTCTGGAAAACATTAGCAGAGACTAGAAGATGGCAAGGGTTTCTCGATAGCGTTTTCTAAAAGCAACAGCTTTACTTGAATGTTTCTCTTATCTGTATTGACATAATGAGTTTGTCAGATAGAAATCTTTTCGCCAAACTAAAGGATGTAAGTTTTTCTTTAGAACAGTATAATTTATGAACACTGAAAAGCGAAATTGAAATTCGGGAAGGGAAAAAGAAAACATCAATGAATGACAATGGCTTTGTTTATTGTTTTCCAACTATTTCATAAATCTCTCTGGATTTTCAATTCTTGTAAACTTTCGTAATTCTCTTTAAACTTTTATTTGAAGTACGCTATTTTGATTTTTATTTAGTTCAATTAAGCATTTTAATTTTATTGCAAAAGTTTCCATGCAATTTTTATCTTGCATTTATAATCATCTGTGCTACATTTTTAACTTTTGTAATATGTAAGTGAAATTTAACTTTAGTTCCTGCCAGAATAGAAAAACATACTTTATACTGTTTCATAATTTGAGAATAAAAAAATTTGTTTAATAAATATAATAATAAATCCCAAACCTACTACACTGTAAAATATTCTTCATCTAACTACGATAAAAAGTACCATCACTTAGGGTGCGGCTACTTTTTATATATGTTCTACTTTTACCACAACATATAACGGAACCAAAAATCGAATATACCATAGTTTTTGCAGCAATACGTAGCGCGAAATCACGAAATCACTTCAATTAAATAAATATTACTAAAAAAAAGTACGGAATAATAATATATAATACTTTATAACCAAAAACATAAGTATTTTATGTATTTGGCTATAAAGTATTTTATGGTAAAATGGGGGAATAATTAATGATGCATTGAAAGTACCAGTATTTTATACCGTAATTTGATCCCGAATCTTTTACAGTGTAGAAGCGAAAAAGGCATGATATTTACTGAATTATCTAGAATATGTTACCTAATAATAGCATAGTATTGTTTTAAATTTTTTATTCATAAATAGGTTAAAACTAAAATGCATAATTATAAATTTTTTGCGTGTAATATATTTCAGATTTTTAATTTGCGTTTTTTGCAATTGATACAATATTAATTAGTAATACTTGCTAATTGTAACTAAATAAAATAAAGTAAAGGTATTTTTAACGGAAATTGATCTGGTTGTGTTCAATTTAGTTTTCCTCAGCATATCAAACACTTAAAATATCATTATGTTACATGTTATAGAAATGGTTTTTTAAGTGTATGTATTCTGAACTCGCGTTGCTTCACTTTAAAATTTGAGCATAAGAGTTTACTTTTTTCAATATACATTCAGAAATTTAAAAACATTTGCAATTTTCTATATTGAAACATACTTTGTGGATCTACCTGAAGAAAGCATTTCAGTATTTTCTCGATGGACTTTTTTTACACAGGACTATACTGATTGTTTCAACGTTCTTAACAAAAAAAAGGAACGTTTGAAACTTTATTGAATTACCCTGAACAAAATGATAAAATGTCTTTTTCTTTTTTATTGTATAAATTTGAAAATAAAATGTAAAATATTAAACTTAATTACAATTTAATAAATACAATAATGCTCATTTATTCGATTTATTGATTTTGTTTAACTAAGTTGAAAAAAATGTGATTTATTGTCAAAAGAATACCATTTAAATAAAAAAATATCTTTATTGTTAAATAATTAGTTACTGTAGTATATATGGGTTTTCAGGCTTAAAAAAAATAAGTTACTTAATAAAAAAAAGATCCGTTGCTTTTGAATTATCTTTTATAAAACTTTTTGGCACTAATTGTAAGAAGAATATTTAACTACCAACTGTTTTAACATTTTCATAACAAAAAAATATGCAAAATATCTTGTGGATAAGAAATACATAAAAATAAAAGATCGACACTATTGCTCGATACGCTTTCAGATTAACCTTAACTTAAGGACAGTATTTTAATGCTGTTTTTACTTTTTCTATGAAAACTGAGGCACAATAATCCAGAAGATAATCCTATATGTTTTGGCAGAATCTACTAGAAAAACTAACTTATAGATAAGACTAACCATTGCAGGCATATCAATTGTTAAATACAATAAATTTAAAATTTTGAAAAAAAAATTTTGAAAATAATTTTTATTGAAGCAGCCTTTAACAATATTTTTATAAAAGATTAGCAATTCTCCGGAATCTTAAATTTGTACCTCCAAAAAACCAACGAAAATACTAATTAAAATACTAAATTACGAAAATAATGATGTAAAAGAAAAAGTTAGTACATTTTATTCTTATTACGTGTAACAAACATAAAAACTTGTACAATTTACGGGGAGCAACTAAAAAATGCTATTACTTTGCTTTTTGTAACAAATTTCTTTAAAAGCAAATTTTATCTTTATAAGAATGTAAGTAAACATATGTCAACATTATTAGATTAATTTTTAAACGAACACGCCTCCCTGCATATTTTATATCTAATTTTCGAAAATATGTATTAGTTTATAACCTAAACTTTTTCCAACATTAAATCTTATTAAAGCAGAAAAATTTTCCGTTAGGGATATCGCAAATATTTAAAGCAGTGAGGAACTAACTTTGTGGAGCTAAGGAAATAAATATAAAATAAGGAAAAATCCCTAACTCCTGTAAAAATCTCTT